GAGTCTAGTTTAACTAATTAACTATAGTAGAAAACTTGTATTATGAATAAAATGTTGTTTACGATAAAAGTACTACAATTGCCTCTATTATTATTGTATATATTAAATCCATTATTTTACAGATGATTTGACAACTGTGGCCGCTACAAACAAGACAACAGTTCAAACCACACCATCAGGTAATGCTTCAAAATGAGTCTAGTTTAACTAATTAACTATAGTAGAAAACTTGTATTATGAATAACATGTTGTTTATGATATAATTATTGCAAGTACCTCTTTGCATATTGAATCTATTATTTTACAGATGATTTGACAACTGTGGCTGCTACGGACAAGACAACAGCCACAACCACACCATCAGGTAATGCTTAAAATGAGTCTAGTTTATTACTAATTAACTATAGTAGAAAACTTGTATATGAATAACATGTTGTTTATGAATGATTTAATTATTACAAGTGCCTCTATTAATAGTGTATATTAAATCCATTTTACAGCAAACTTGACAACTGTTTCCAATACGGAGAAGACAACTGTTGAAACCACATCATCAGGTAAATTTTTAAAATGATTCTAGTTTAACTGACTATAGTAGAAAACTTATATTATGAATAACACGTTGTTTACAATAAAAATATTAAAATTGCCTCTATTATTATTGTATATTAAATCCATTATTTTACAGATAATTTGACAACTATGGCGGCTACAAACAAGACAACAGTTCAAACCACAATATCAGGTAATGCTTAAAAATGTGTCTAGTTTAACTAATTAACTCTAGTAAAAAACTTGTATTATGAATAAAATGTTGTTTAAGAGTGATGTAGTTATTACAAGTGCCTTTATATCGTAGTGTATATTGAATCCATTTTGCAGAAGTTTTGACAACTGTGTGTTATAAAAGTATTGCAATTGCCTCTATTATTATTGTATATTAAATCCATTATTTTACAGATGATTTGACAACTGTGCCCACTACAGACAAGACAACAGTCACAACCACACCATCAGGTAATGCTTAAAATGAGTCTAGTTTAACTATTTAACTATAGCAGAAAACTT